ACCATTACATTCCACTCTAACAGTCAGTATGTTTTGCATCAATAAGTTTGCAAATGTCTTCAGAGAGCTCACTGGGTTTGCCCATCATGAACCGTTTCTGATGTGACAGCTAGATAATGAGACCCTGACCTGCTTTTTATTTTTTATTTATTTATTTATTTTTTTCAAACGCTGATATCATAGCTTTCCATTACCTTTTGCCCTTCTGTTTCTTAACCCTTTTCTTTGTCATTCTATTTTGGTACATATAATTTTATTCATTTATTCTATGACTTGTTTGTTTCATTTCTTTTTCTGCGTAGATTTTTATTGACATCTAGTGAGAATTTCCTATCAGTTCTACCTTTAGAAATATATTTACTTCAAAGATTTAAAAAAAATTGACAGTGTTTTGCAGCAATAGGTTTGGTTTGGCTATGAATAACTATTAAAAATTGCTGAGACAATTATTAACAAAGTGAGAAGTTTTAACCAAAACTACCAAGTTACCACAAGATTATCAGGAAATGATCGTCAAAATCCTCTTCAGTCTTTGTTCTTGTTCTATGAGAACCTGCTGAGTCAGGTGTGGTTTAGAACAATAGTCGAAGCACTGTTGTTGTTCAGCAACCCATGCACACATATAGAGAATAAATGTAGAAAACTTGTCCCCAAAATATGATTTAGAATTTAACAAAATACTTTAACCTTCCAGTTAAAATACTTTTAAGTAATTTTTCATTACATTATTTGATGACTTAGAAAACAGTAACCTTTTGAACAACTGATTTATTTTCACCACAGTGACTAGCCGATTGGTTGATGTGCTACGAATATGGCTGCTTAAAACATTTACAGACTCACAAAATGGCAAATGAAGTTGAGGTTTGGTGACATCGCTCACAGTCAGTGGCTTAACTTTATCAGTAAAGAAAATTTGTCCTTTGGTGCTATTTTAGCAATCCCTTTTAGTCCTATGTGTGCTTTTGCGTACCGTTAACAACGTCAGCAATTGTTTATGAGCAACGGCAATTTTCTATGGCTAAACCAAGAATGAACAGAAAAAGCTATGTCGTAAACTACAGCACAATACCTTTAGCTTGGACAGAGCATTTCACTTTTACCATTAGCAGTTGAGAAAAGGATTTAACTTAGCACATTTATACATGCTGTTGGTCGGATGAGCAAAGAAACGGTTTCAGCGGCCCCTCTCGGTGTGCCGGTTAGGGAAGCGTCTGCTCAGACTGGCACACATGAGGCAGCATGTTGTGAGGCAGCGAGCTGCAGAAGTGTGGTTTGTCTTCTCTCAGGACAGTGGAGGGAAAATCGCTTCATTAATGTGATCAGACAGACAGTGTCTTTTCTTGGCGAATCCAGAATGCTTTTATGATTTATTTTCTGTAGGATCTCACTGCATCTCTTCAAAGATGGAATGTCTTTACATGGCCATTAAGGAAGAGGATTTCACACTTGTACATGTCACCCCAATGCAGTTGTCTGTTGGAAAGAGGAATAAATTATTTTTGCGTTAATTATATAGTCCTTATGACATGACAGCGTTTCCCTTCTGGGACACTGCTTCTCCTGGGAGTTACGTAAAAAAAACAAAAAAGATTAATGCAATGCATTTTGCGATAGTTTTACCAGTACCAATTTTGTTCTGATGTTAGTTTAGACCTAATTGTCCCTGACAACAATAAAATACATATATATATATATATATATATATATATATATATATATATATATATATATATATATATATATATATATATATATATATATATATATGTATGTATGTATATGTATATATATAACAAAATCAAAACTGCCAATTGCATATCTTATAGATAACAAACCATATTTAGAAGGAGATATGCCTGAAATTATTCTGAGTTCAAAATGTGAAATGTGAGTTTTTTGATGTTAACTTGTGTGGCTGGTCAAAGTCACCTAGAAATAGTTACCAGGCTAATCCTCTTATGTATTACAGGTACCTGTCATGCTCTTACTTTAGAATTAATGGGATTAGGTAGATGCTCTAAAGTGTCCAGCAGTGACCGAGGGCTCGCATGCAAGCCTGTAAAGCTCAAGAGACTTGGTTTAAATGCACCCCAAATTTTTCAACGGGTGTATGTTGTGATTTTAAACTTTAGTATTTTAGATGTGGTGCTCCTGAAAGGAAACATATGTAAGAAACATTGTTTTTGTATTGTACATTGACAAAAAATAATTTAAAATTATTTCAGATCAGAGATTCCTTGTTAAATGTGGAACTAATAGTACTTAATGAAGTGACAGAAAATCTAAGAAGGCATCATGAAGCTTTACACTTGGCATAATTAGTAGGACTGTGCCTGTTTTAATATTCATACCTTCCGTATCAGGGGCAAATATGGATGGACCATCTGGTTCTGACCACAGAACTTGTTCTGCTGGTTCAGCTGAGGATTGGTGGAACTGCTTCTTTTGGTTCTGGTTCTGGGTTTGGTGTAGTTACGTTTTGGGCTTTGGAGTTATGGGTAATGTTCAAATACCCACATCTTTTGTTTGGTTAGGGCTTTGTCTTTACGGTGACATTTAATCTAACTTCTTTTACTTTATTAATAGATTTTATTCAGGGACTTTTACAAACAAACATGTACAGCTTACATGTCAGTGTAAAGTGAAATAAAACTTGATGACTACAGTATCATTTGTTTTAGTCTGCTGAGGTCATTTTGGAGATTTTGGTATTTGTCTCCTTGTAAAGGAAGACACCACCATCAGTCATACAAACTTCAGACTAGCCACATTACCTTTGACGACACAGTCCTGTTTATACGGATTGTGTTTCATTCACAATCACGTTTAAGCATTTTGGAAACTTAGTATATAAACGTGGCTATGAGAACTTTGACTGTAGGAAGTTAAATGGTTACAGTGTTTCTGACTTCAGTGTCCCTTTGAGTAGTGCTTTAACTGCAACTTCCAACACTGTCAACTTGTAACGTGTTTGCAATAAGTGATATGAGGTCACACTTTTATCTTTATTGCATCTATATTTGTATCAAAAGCACAAAAGAACAATGCCCTCTAATATATAACTACAAATTTGTAGCATGAGCACATTTTCCAATGTGTTTCAAAAGTATTTTGAGACTCTCCTACAGGTGTTGCTCTAGGATTTTGCAAACACTGGAAACGCTGACTCCTTTATTTGGTTATGTAGTCCTTGCATGTCCAAAAAAAGAGTCATGTTTACATTGTTGACAGAAAGTCAAGGTTAAGTTCAGTGAGTGCTGGACACAGGTAGGTCTGCTTCTAGTCCCTTGTCCTGTTTCTGCTGTTAATGAATTGGCCCGCAATGGTAATTATGAAGAAGATCTAGAAACCTTGAGTTCTCATCTTTCACTTTTCGTAGATCATGTTCTAAAAGTGTCTTCAAGCCACGATCTCCTAGAATCACGGGAAATGTTTGCTTCTGAGCGTGAGACATCTAAAGTTGGCGTCTGCACAACTAAATTGGAGGCCATGGTTTTCACTTTGGCGTAGCTCAAGTACCATGATGTCTCATTCCTGTGGTGGTATTGTGCAGTATAGGCAGATTGGAGCCTCATATGTTGTCATGCAGGTGTTGCTCTGTTTTTTTGTGAAGAGAAAATGTAAAATTAAAGAAAAAAAAGCTGTAAATTTATCGGTCATTCTGTGTTCCATCTTCAACTTTAATCATGAGTTCTAGAGAAGAACATTTTGAGGACAGGTTGAAGTAGAGTTATTGTTCCTCAGCAGTTTACTTCAGAGAAGTAACATGGCGCATTTCAGTGTTCTTAGATTTTGTCAGATTTCATAAGACCAGATTTGTCAAGCTTTTCATCCTATTCATTTAATCTGTTACTCTGCTATGGTTTGACAGTCTCTTCTAAATTAAGTAAGGCTAATCGCCTCGTCTTCTGAAAGCTAACTCTGTTAAAAGTTACACGTATTGACAAGTTACAAATGTACAACATGGCACGTGAAAACAAAATTGTTAGCTGGTGCACTTTGGTAAGTTTTTAATTTGGCCAAGATAGAGATTCTTGTTGAGTAATTCTGTGTAGATGTCTCCTACTAATCAAAAATAATTATTTAGCAGAAAAGGTTTTTGCTGTCTGCAACATTGTTTCATGGCTTGACAAGGTCTGCATGATGAAACTAAATAAAAACCACCCCTCCTGCTATACACTAGGATAAAGAAAGAAAGAAAAAAAAATCCTTTGGAAATTTTATCTGCATTTATGGCAATTTGTCTGGTTCTTTTTTTTTCCTGGGAGGCTTTTGATCAGTGACACCACCCACAGATAATGTGAAGCATGAAGGCCAAATCCTGCACTGCATCGATTGAACAAACACACCCCACCTCCCTCCACCAACACAAACACACTTGTGCTGCCCTAATACCACCACAGCGTTGGTCCACTACAGCAACAGCAGTAGCATGTGACAGCAACAGCATTCATTTGTGTGTAAGGGCAGCAATAACTTGTGCAGAATTTGTTTTCAGAAAGCAGTGTTGTGACGGCAACATTACTTAAGCACACTTGCAAATGAGGGCTGAAACAAATGAAACATGTCATGTTCGAACTCAATTTTCTGAAGAAAGCACACATTTAGTTTTTTTTCTTGCTAATAATTTGAGTTATTGTTTGTTTCTCACGTTTACAGATAAGCTACTTGTCATCTTACTACAGAAAATGTCTTAGATTGTGTATTATTTCAAAAGGTATTGTCAGGATTCCTTTGTACTTATCTTATTTTTTGCGTTTTTTCGCCCTCTTTCTCTCTGTAATCTCCATTTACCCCCCTCCTCTTTTGCCCATTCCCATTCTGCTTCCCTCCTTACCAGCCTTTCTCTCCCTCCCTCTTTTTCTTTCCCAGGCGAGTGATGCGTGCTGCAAACGGCGTGTGCGTGTAGTGTGAACAAGACCCACTGGTGTATGCGTGTGCCCGCGTGAGTTAAGTGTGCGTGCATGCGTGTGTGTGTGCAGAGACAGAGAGAGAGAGAGAGAGAGAGAGAGAGAGAGAGAGAGAGAGACATAGACTGAGCCCCCAACACGGAGCATGCCTCTGCGTCCGGCAGCCGGCAAACATGAGCCACCCAGCTCTCCACGGCAGGACCAGCAGCAGCGCACACACACACACTCACGCACGCACACGCACCCTTACACACACGCAGCAAACGGCAGCCAGGGGGCCAGCACTGACAGCAGCAGCTCCCGGGAAGAGGAGAGCAGCGTCCCCGTTCCTCACGCTGTTCCGGCTTTCGGTCCCGGTGGAGAGCACAGCAACAGTGCAGGAGCACCCATGGAGGAGCCAACAGGCAACACTGTGGTCATCCGCATTGGAATCCCAGACCTACAACAGACGGTAAGAGCTTTCTCTGTTGCCACTGCTGGAGAGCGTAAAAGAGAGGGAAGGTGCCTCTCCCCCTTCTTTGCTGTCAGGCTGCTTTTAACCTGTGTTCTATGCTTGGTGGATTGGAGATAATTATCTTTTTCTTTGTCTTTCCATTTTATCTTTTTGTGCTATTTTTTCCCTCTGTTTTCAGTCTGGTTCTCTCTCTCTCTCTCATCTTGTTTTCAGTATTCAGACTTTGTAGCTTTGCTTGCCTGCTGGCTTCTTGGGGTTCCACCCCTCCACTCCTCCCGCCTGTCCAACGGGCTCCTCACTAATAAAGGTGCCTCTTTATAAACTGGGCTTCAGCCGACTTTGACAACTTGTCTCTTAGGGTGAAAGTGAGACGGGAGAAAAAATGCATTGGGGGTAAAGCAGGCTAATATATACAGGATTTAAAAAAAAAAATCACTATAGTCATGAACACGGGCTGTAAAACTTTACCTCAGACCTGTCTTCTTGTTTCTGCTATTGCTCCACGTCAGGACAGAGAAAATAGGTTCAATATTAGTCTTCTTAATCAAGCAGCAATTTACCTGAAGAGGTAGCTTGTGCCTAGGTGTTTGGCATCTACTAAAGAAAAAAAAGCACAACCATTAGACTGTGAGATTGGTTGCTCCCTGCCGTTATTTTATCTAGCCTAGAATTTGGTATGCACTCCCCATCTCTTAACACATTCACCGTGACCAAAAGTCTCTGTCAGCTTGTGGTTGGTGCAGAAGGTGCTGCAGAAGGTGCAATCAATCAGGATAAATGTCCAGATCATTAATTAGTTTTCATCTACCCTAATTTATATTCATTGAGTGATGATTATTCTTGGAAGAACAATACATACCATTTTGTGTTTTTCTTTCTCTAGTTAGAAAGTCATTTAGTCTTTTAAAAATCTGCTAAAAATACTGAATTGGCAGAAAAGGATTTCTTTTTTTCAGTTTACCATTAGGCGTATGACTATCACCACTGACATATGGGATAAAGACCAATGGTTATATTTTTCATCTTAGCACCTCTTTTGGAGTGGGATATATTATGATTTATAAGCACATTAATATTTTTATTCTGAGCTGACATGTTAGAGGTAGGAACATTAGCAGGGTAAAGTTCAAATGAGTTTCACAAGGGCCACATTTTGATGGCTAAACGATTGGCTTAGATAATCTCCAAGCTCTTCTCAGCCATTTTCATTCTGCAGGTTGGTTAAAAGTGGTCCAACGATGGAACGGCGGTGAACTAGAGACAGGGTCATCTTCCACGTGAGGAGCCGAAGCCGGACCACTTGATGCACACCAACAGATTCTGTTGTTGTAGAAATTGCTGCAGAAGTCGATGGTTCTGACATCTGAATGACTGTCACATAGTAAGGTGTCAGAAAACGGCACGTTGCAGGTTGTATGGCATTGTAAAGAAAGCAGACAAGCTGCTGTGGCCACACTAAGCTCTGTCAAACACCCAAAGTGCCAACAGTGGGCAGGTTAGTATCACAACTGGGCCATGCTGCCATGATGGTGAAGCTGTTCTGATGTATCATGTTTACTTTTACATTGCATAGATGACTGGGTGTATCAAGTGTCACTTTTCAAGGTAACACATGGCTCCCAGTACCCATCCATCCAAACATCAATTTTCACTTATGAGATTAAAAAGTCCAGATGAAAAACCCAAACATCTCTTTCACTAAAGACACCTTTTAGCACATTCTTAGGGATCCAGAGGTGCTCCCAGGCCAGAAAGGATGCAAGTACCTCCAGCAAGATCAAGGCCTGCCCTATGCTCTCCTCCAAGTGAGAAGTTCCCAAAATATACTTTAGGAAGAAGACAAGTTGTGTCATAATTTATGTTATGCTTTGCTGGGAAATATTTGGTCCCGCTATGCATTTGAATGTTATTGTGGCTATCAGCATTTCCGTGAAAACATTGTAGCCTGAAGTCCATAGCCTCTTGTAGGAGGATAATCTTCTCTCTGCAAATCAAAAAAAATATTCAGTAATGATTTGAGGAGCACAAGTGCAACATTCCACATATTCAGTCTTTTTCAATTCAGTTAATTTATGTAACGCCAGCTGAAAACAAATATCAGCTTAAAGCTTTTTCCAAGACAAAAATACGTAGTTTATTTACAGAATTGCATAGTCAATTCAATCCAAATTCAGTGTAGATAACATACATGACACCAGTTTGATTCTAGCTGTGACACAGTGCTGCCAAGTTTGGTCTATTGTCACAATTGGTGAGAAGCTTTTTGCCAAAGGAAATGCAACTGATTGCATGATCCAATAAATCAACAATCATATGTTTTGTTTGATAAACACCTGATCAATATCAATAGAAAATACGTTAGATAAAATTTTCAATAATTTCACTGGAATTCGAGCCAGAACCAAACAACATTTTGGGGGCTGTAGGCAGAGAAAAAGTCTTCAGCCACTAATCCTCCGACAGCTAGCTAACCAAGCTGTTGGTTACCTTGTTGAATGACGTGTGCAGTAGCAGTTTCAGGTTTTGCTACCGTGCCTCATAGCTGCTTAAAAATGGCGGAGTGAAAGGGCAAGACGAGTACAACAGCTTGAGAAGAAATTGTGGATAAAACAGAAAATACCAAGCCACCAGTTTGGCCACATTTCAGATATCTAAAACAAAAAACCAACAAATAATTATGGATATTGACTAATATGAAACATTTGTATCATGGGAAGATTTTCAGCCATATTGTCCAGCCCTACATGTTGCTAACAACTTGATGCTAAAAACCACAGCACACCTTCTGGATTTTAGTGGAGTCCATGCCAAAGAGCTATTAGCCAAGTGGTCATAAAGTTATGGCGAATAGGTGTGTTGTGATTCTCTGTTCTTGGGTCTTGAATATTGCTGTTGTTGCTATCTTGTACCTTGTACCATCCATGGTCTTGTAGCACAAATAGGATTGCATTATATCATGTTCATATCTGTGATACAGAAGTAGCTTTTTTAAAATCACATTTATGCTATAATCTGTCATCCTCTCATTTTACATCACCATAAATGGGATCCTAAATTTTTGATTCCCAAAATGTTGATCCTGCCCTTATCTGCTGTGCTACAGTGCATATAGAGGCTTTTTGAGTTTACTTTAGGTGTCCTTTTTATTCTTCCACAAGACATGTTAGGCAAAATGCAAGATGCTGGTAATGTGTTTTGTTATTGTTTATTAGCTCATTGTGGTTGGCTGAAATGACCCATTGTGTCTTAGTGAGGCTCCAGCTCTGCAAGCCCAAAATAAAGACAGGAAATAAAAGGAGGGCATTTGAAGAGAAAGCTGAGAATTCCCTGAAGGTACTGCATAGTAGCCTTCTGTGAGCAAAATAGTTTTTCATTCTAGTTCAAAACCCCTGCGCGCACACGCCGCCGCTCAAACACGCACACACGCACATAAATCCTAATCTCATTTCCAGGGGACTTACCTTAATGTTCTTACGTAATTCAAAGATGCTCAACAGTTCATTAGCCTTGCTCTCAAGTCGTGACATTTTATCCAGGAAATTTCTAAATGTTGAGAACACATATGGTGTGAAGTTGTGATCGACAGGCAAACAGAGCAAGCGCCTGGAAATCTGACAGATAAACATAGCGGCAGATGACAGATGGCTAGATTTTGAGACTTTGAATTTTTTATGCAGCAGTCAAAAGTGACTTCTGTATACACTGAGTGAAAAGGGGATTACTCTAGGACAGTCTGCCTGAGTAGGATTACATATCGCCTGCTGCGTTTCAAGTCTGGATCTGAAGAATGAAGCGTCATGCAAGGATCACAGTGGGAAACATTTTACCTTTTCAGCAGGAAAGAAGGAAAGAGTGAGGACTCATGTAGGGTGGATGCAATATGTGGAATGGCAATATCCTCTTACGGCTTTTCCCTCAATCTCTGGGCTGTTCCTTTACTGTAACAACCGTCCTGCTTCAGCAAACCTGTTATAAATGTGTCATCATTGCAAAAATGTGTTCCTAGATCAAGCTGCATTGCCAAACCTGCAATAAAAAAGATTAAAGTCTTTGGCTAATTTTTATATGTTTTCAGATTTATCAAATTTAAAATGTTCATAAGTTTGTAGATGTAGCATTCTCTCAGGTTGTAATGCAATAAAACGGAAAATGTGGAGTTAGCAGGGGACGAGAAGCTGTAAAGCCATTGAAATTTCATACCGAGAATTAATTTTATGAAAATGCTGTACCCTCCATGATTTGAAACTAATAAGTGAAATGAGTAGTTACTAAGGTTTTAGTGAAAATATTGTGTCGAGAGCTGAAGGAAGCAGTATGATCTCATTCACTGCTGAAATCTGTTTTCCCAGGCAGAGTGTTGTACAGTCTACTAAAGATTTGGCTTTTTTGAGATAATAGGTATTGTTTATCATTCACCATATCCTGCATCAATGAAACACTTTCTTCTTTTACGGAAGCAAAAAGAGATGGATTCCCAATACTGCTAATGGGTGCTATTTATCTCTTTACAGAGCAAAGGTGTCATAAATAGACTGCCTCAAATATCTCTCTACCTTCTTTAATTCATACGCTTGTTTTTTTTTCCCTTCAGATTGTTGCTTCTTATAGGAGATTTCAAATTTTTATTTATTCACAACTTTTCTTTTGCTCTTAGAGGTTTGGTACAACAACGTAATCTGCACATTAGTCAACAAGATGAAAGACTCAAAAATGGAAAAGCTGCATGTCTGATTACTCTTATTGTGGACCTTTGAGTTTGTGGGTTCTGTGATTCAGGTTTATTGTGTGGAAAATTGCTTGCTTTAACTATTTGAAAGCCCCACAGTTCTGTTATGCTGAGTAATTTTGGCATTTTATCGTAAAAAAGAAATTACAATAGTTGGTGAGGACAATTTCACATCTTTGGAATGCAAAGTTATCAATTCACGCTTTTTTTTTCTTTTTAGACATTATATGCTTTACTGCAATTTCATATTTTTTTAATTGTACAGCCCCAA